TAATAATAATAATAATAATAATAATAATGTTACCTTGCACTCCGGAAGCTATGGCTATTTCTCCAACATACTTGCACGCAATCTTCAGAAATAAAAACAAAATAAGCAGCCTTCGTGCGAATGAATACTTCCCATTGCCCACAATAAAAGTCCAGTGCCAACAAGAAGACGGTCAGGAGGCGAAAAATGCGTTAGACTCCAGTCTGGCACATTTCCTTTAATGTTTTCACCCAAAACGCCACCAACACAAGTAATAGGAATCACCCGACACAAAAAAGGCAAAAAAAAACCTGCGCCTCGAATTAAAAGTGATTAGAATGAGAACATCATTCGGCTTCACCAAAAGATACAGACAATGATATGAAACTAAAAGGGATGGACCTTTTATCCCCGCTTGTTTTCTCTCCGATTTTCTCCAGAGAAATGAGGAGACGGGCAGCAGGTAGGAGAAACCCCTGGCTGACGGAGGGGAGATGTTTGAATGCTGTGGTGTGGAGTGAGACAGGGAACCGCTCTCGCCAGCTCGCTCTCCGGGCTCCGGGACCGGGGCTGCAATATCACGTCACAGCCAGTGAGATAAAGCACGCATGGACGTTACTTGCTGCGTCTGGTACTTCTTTTCCCCCTTTTGCCACTCATTCAGCGTTTTCATTTTATTTTGTAGAAGGCAGAGGTATGCGCCCTCAGACCTGCCAGTTCTGGAACCTAAATGAGCATCGGTACCTTCATGGTCGCCCTAAAGGACTGGACTATTTTGGTGTACAGTATTTCAGATAAGGTTTGCAGTCGGTGTGCGGGATTTGTGATATCCTTCAGTTTTAATGAGACCTGGAATGGGATTCAAGGCTCAGTTCACTTGGCAAAGGTTACGGTTATGTGTTTTTTCCCGTTTTGTTGGAATTTCGTGAAGAAGGCTTTAATTTAAAAAATGTCACTTTAATTTTATTCCACATTGGGCTTTATCAGCATTCAGTGTTCTCTGTGAGTAAAATATGAATATTTGTGCTGCTGTGTTTAATGTCGGGCAGGTTTACATTGCTCAATGCAGGTCTTATACATTTTGACATTGTGACAAGGTATGTAGACTTCTCAATTGGAAAGAGCAGATTTATGCCACGAAAGGAGAGCTCCTTTGCTTATCTCAACGTGAAATTTTCCATGCCCATAAAATAGTACGGATGTTATTTATTTTGCACTTTACGCATCTCAGAATATGTGAAACACAGGCTTACAAACAAATTTGTTACGCGTAGATTGTACAGTTTTTAGCAAAGGGTGAGACATGAGGTTAGCAAAGGGTGAGACATGAAGGTTTTATCTCATTCCCCTGTGCTGGTGCACCCGGAAAAGAACACTTTGGTCTGCGAAAAGGAGCTTAATTTGTGCTAGAACAGATGTGGAATACTTACAATCCAAGATGATAATTATTTTAATTTAGGAATTTGTACAAAATAAATAACTTATAAAACTTTAATTTTTAATAACATTGATTGTGGAAAATGAAATAGTTTACAAGTCAGTCAAATGCTATTAACTCAGTGCAAAATATCCTCACCGTGTACTGTCTTCACCAAATTCTAGCGCTTTTTCCAGTTTTCTTGATTCAGTATAAAACAAAATTGTCATTCAGCTGTGCGGTTGGCAAACGTGTAACTGCCTGTCTAGTCAAGAGTGTGTAACACTGAGGCTCAACCCGTGCATTAATATCAGTCACGAAATACTGATTGCTCCTGGAAATCCTGTAACACGGAACAATGGCATTGATTATTGCTGATCGGTGTTCTCCTCGTACAGAAGCCGTCACATACGTGCCGGTGATTGTTCCAGATAGCTGCTTCTATCTGGAATAACATTAGTCGTGTCATGAGCTGTTACATTTTTGAAAACCTATAAATATCTTGATTCTTTTCTTCAAAATGTGTACATATATGCTTTTCAGTTGGAGTTTTTAAACAGAATGCTTTATATGCATGGGGAGGTCTTATCTGAACGACACAGTTTACTGTCGTTCGCAAGTATTGCTTCTCTTTAGCTATGTCCTCCATTCTTCACTTACAATGTACTTAAATATCGAAAGTATTAAATTTAGTATTAAGTGACCATTTAATTTGTATTAATGAATGAACTCGTAACCTTTCTTTTTGTGCGCTTTCTCAAGTAACATAAGTCATTACAGCAGTTCAAGTCGCGAATTTATTGTTCTAACGGTGACCTAATAACATGACATTAAACACTATTAATGACACCTGCGTTTCCATGTTTTCATTACCACATGTGATTTTCCAAAATTGTGCATTTTCGAAATGATTGATATGTAGATATGCTTGTCTTTGTATATGTAGAAGCGCATACAGTATATGTAAGAATTGTGAATAAAATATCTGTACTCCCTACAGAACAGATTGATCTATCATGGGACCATTGGAAAGTCATTATTTCTGCCCAGGACATCTAGGTAGTTTAGAAGGGGCTTCTGTCTGTACAGTATGTGCCTATTGGCATCCATCCACAGAGGGCAGTATTTTTATGGGAGACAATACCCTTAACTCACACTGCCAGTGCAGTACAAAGTTAGATAGAGAGTCGAGGTTATACAGGGTTTTCTGGTCTTCACCGTAGTCTAGAGATTATGTACCAGTAATCTTACTGGTTTAATTACCAGTCCTGCGGGTTACCTGGGCCATGGTCAGTACCTCCATCCATACCCTTGGACCTGACTTTTGTCATGCACACATCGTGACAATATGACCTACCATCCCAAAGACTGTGTTTGTTTGTCAGATCATCTGTGAACTCATTGCTGCTTTGCATAATTGCAGTAGTGCAGTATTACAGTCTTTTCATTCTGCTAGCGTTGTGAATAGTTCCAAAACATAAACATTTTCATACAAGCTTAAATGCTTATGTATTAATACAGATGCATATCGCGTCATTTGACACCATGCCGGAAAGTATCCAGAATCACCTTGTAAAACCGCCAGGAGGAGCCAATAAAGCTTAACCTCTCATGTACAGCATTTGAGCTTTTAAATTTAAACTGTGTATTACAGCATGTTAATCATCAGTCATTAAAAAGTTGGTATATTTTATGAAAGCAAGATTGCTCAGTTGGACAAAAGTACACAACCTACCTTTATCAGAAATATTTTAATTATGCAGAAATATTTAATGCATCAAAGCCTTTACCGAAGATATTACTAATAGTATATATAATGAATGACTTTGGACAAGCTGTAAACTCAAAGTATTACGCTGGTCCACATTCTTTCTAACTGTCATTTTAAACGAAAATACTTTTAGTTTTTTCTTTGACAAACACGACAGCATTTCGTTGATCTAACTAACGAGGACAGGATATTAGCTAGCCAATACGATAAAGGAATGACTTTTTTTTTGCTAATTTCTTTAGCACATTTACTCCCTTGCTTTTAACAGAGCGTTTCATAATTTCTAACTACGAAAATTATTTAAACTGCGACACTTATCATTCAACCAGAGCTCAAAATATCACAAGGATCCTCAAGAGCACAACAAAGACTATATTAAAAGATACTTGTATCAGATCTACACTTTCTTTTCCGTATACCAGATATTATGGAACCACTTCAGAAGGGTGTCAGCCAGTCAGATTCCAGGAATCAGTACTTGAAAGAAAAAATACACACCAGTATTCCATTTCTCCCTAAACATTTAAGCATCAAAGTCTTTAACTAACATGTGAAATAGCGTGTAAAAAAGTGGTAGTTTTAAGCTTTTCTGCTAATGTAATATAGAATCGCATATCTAATGGGTCTTTGATATTTTTCTAGGATTTATGCTAAAGATTCATGCACTTTTTTCAAACTATGAGATTTGGGGAAAATGGTTCTGGAGATGTCTTTCATTTTGAGGCTGTAATCAAGTACAGGATCTGCTGAGGTAATGCAGGAACCACACTACAAGGAAGACCTACAGTACATGTGCAGTAAGAGACATACAGTATGTTGCACCTACGATCAAACACATGTCTGTGTTTGTTTCAGTACTGACTGTACTGCATTATTCTGGCAGGTTTGACTACAGATGTTTGGCAAGTAAACAGCATACCACTTGTAGTCTAAACATTTTTTAAGTCATAATGGGAGGTAGCTACAGTATTTTTATTTATCCGGCTTTAAACAAATTAATAACATGCACACTTTGATTTGCATAGCTGTTGATCAAATAAGCAAAACAAAAATGCATTTTTATTTTTAGAGTTAGGGTAAATTAAAAATACTGTAATATATGTTTGTAAACAAGAGTTATTTCCTCAGATACTGTGTATACAGTATTTTGCAGATAATCTTGGGTTTAATTAATTAGGGAAATCTAAGATCTGAGTAAAACCAATGAAGAAAAGTATGGTACATGAAAACCTTTCCCTGTGGCGTATTAATGAGAGTGATCTAAAACATCCTTAGTGGACAATGAATAGACATGCCAGTGTTTTCCAGTTGGTATTAAAATGATATAACTGAATGCCATTTATGCATTGGTGGGTATAGCATGTAACTTAGAAACCACTTCATTCATGGCTCCTGAGCAGCTCAACCAGTGAAGGTGCTCTTTCGATTGCAAGTTGAGATTTATGATTCAGATATCACAGCTCTGAGCCCGGGTCATGTCACTGCCTGATCATGACTGGACTCCCCAGTTCAGCACAGTCATCACAACTGGCTGAGCACCAAGGATAGGGTAGGATTACCTGGCCAGGGCTCTCTTGGCTCCTGGCAACACCTGTGGCTTCCTGGCGTTTGCAGATTCGCAGTGTTGCAGCTCAGAGCTGCATGTCACCTCCAGTGTTTGAGGAGCCTCCTGCATGGGGCTGTGTAGCTTGTTTAAAGATAATAATAATAATTACTTAAACTTATATAGCGCTTTTCTGAACACTCCACTCAAAGTGCTTTACAGGTAATGGGGACTCCCCTCCACCACCACCAACGTGCAGCATCCACCTGGGTGATGCGACGGCAGCCATAGTGCGCCACACATCAGCTATCAGTGGGGAGGAGAGCAGAGTGATGAAGCCAATTCATAGAGGGGGATTGTTAGGAGGCCATGATTGATAAAGGCCAATGGGAAATTTGGCCAGGACGCCGGGGTACACCCCTACTCTTTTCGAGAAACGCCCTGGGATTTTTAATGACCACAGAGAGTCAGGACCTCGGTTTTACGTCTCAGGATGGCACCCGTTTACAGTATAGTGTCCCCATCACTACACTGGGGCATTAGGACTCACATGGACCACAGGGTGAGCGCCCCCCCGTGGCCCCACTAACACCTCTTCCAGCAGCAACCTTAGTTTTTCCCAGGAGGTCTCCCATCCAGGTACTGACCAGGCTCACACCTGCTGAGCTTCAGTGGGCTGCCAGTTGTGAGTTGCAGGGCGATATGGCTGCCTGCTAATGTCACGGCCCGATGGCCCGATCACAGATGGGCGAGTCAGAGAACTCTATATAAACTCTTGATTTCTTCTTCATTCTCCCCAGTGTGTGGTTGCAGGTTTGTAATCAAGACATGGAAAGTACACAACAGGCAATTCCAAACTGGGTTCTGTAACACAAAGTAGTGACTCTAAAAATTAAAAAAGTGTTTTTTATGTCTGTATCCTTTTACAGACAGAAATATAGGATTTCTGTCTCAGTTCCCTGAAAAAGGAAACATCAAGCAAGATTTGTCAGGGAGCTTGACAAACGTTTAGTTTGTAACTGGTCTCAACCCTAGTAGAGCCCCAATTCCTCATGTTTTGAGCCTGGAATCAATGGATTGAGATTAAAACTATAAGATCACATATGTCTCCTAGACTAGGGCTAGAGGCCAAACAGGACTGGGATTTATTGTTTGACTACCAAGCAAATTTAAATATTTATTATCCCTCAGTTTGACTTTTTTCATGGTTTGAAGGTGTATCTATAATGTAATGCATGTATGGAATACTACTTATTGTGAAAGAAACTCTGAAACAAACAAAGTAAAAGGTATTGTAAATTTGGTATCTAAAATCCATCTTCCAATGTCCAGTCACCATTGTTCTTTATAGTCTCAGTAAAAAAAAAACAAATTAAATACATTTCCTTCTTCACTTATCTCTACAAATAAGGTTAATTTGTACAAAGTAAACATAATTTAGACATTTGATTTTAACCGTTTTGTAAAGTTGATACTTAATAATGCTACGCCACCAATATATTTTTTATTTCATCCAGACCCTTGGAGCATGTACACCTTTAGTAATCAGAGCAATGCAATAAGAAATATTGGTTGTTTATGTTTATTCAGCAAGAAAATCATTTTGTGCAACATAATTTTGCAAAATTTATCTTTAAAATCCTTAAAATGTTTGTTCTCAGGAAAGTGGTCCAGCCTTGAGAACGAAGTCCCTGTAGTACTGAGATATGTATGTATGTAATATGGGATGTGTTTTCTCTAAAAGGAACAGGAGCTAAGCCCTGCAGTTCAGTGCATTGAATTGAATTGAGTCTGTGTCATTATGCAAGAATGACAGAAGGGGTGACATCCAGCAGACTGGTGTTAGCTGGGGTTTCCTTGTTTTGCCAGATTCCAGTGACTCCAGTAGCTGGCTGTTACACCTTTAGACAGTTTAGAAATTCTCATCTTTCAGATTCACTTTTCATGACTGTAGAGGATAATGAGGAGCCAATTATGCTAAGTATTGTAAAGGAAAATATTATTACTCTGTTTGATGGTCACATTATTTTCTACCATGTTTTCAACATTAATAAATAACGTAACATTTATATTATTGCATTTGAATATATTTTTAAAAGGTAGTTTTACATTGTGTCTGAGAACTGATAACATGCCTCAGAGGACAGCGCCTGTGTCTCCAATTGTCATTATTCAGAGCTGGAGTGCAACACCTGACAAGGCTGAACAGCACTGGTCCATCACATTGAATCACAAAACAGAGAACATGAGTTGGCAGTTATGATGGCTTTTAAAAAAAATACAGAAATCAATGCCAAATCCCACAGTCACAAAAGACAGAAGACTCAGACCATTCCACACATGAGCCTGTTTTTTCAGTCATCAGAGTCAACTAACATCACATTTTGCAATTGCAAGCATAACAAGTGTACAAGGCCTATGCTTAGAGATATCTAACTAGCTATACTAATGCTTCTAAAGCTAAATGTTTTTCAACAGCAAAAAAACATTCAATTAGAATTCAAGCCTAATAAATGTTTGAATATTAACTCTATCTGATCAAAACATGCAAATATAACTCTTACCAACTTTGCATTCCACGTAGAGAAATGCGATTGGATGAAGAACTTTAATTCAATGCTTTTGTAACCATGATGAGGTTTTTCTTTAAAATACTGTATATCTAGGCTGAAATAGTCAGAGGTTCACTGGAAAGGTTTTTCAGTGGGACAAATGTCTGCATTATTTGTAGTTGGTTTTGCAGCTGATGTTTCATTTGGAGAATATCATTAAAATCTTATACATTAAAGTGTATAAATTTAAATCATGCAAGTTTTATAGTGCTTAAGATATTTCTGACTATCTTATTCATTCTTTGCAGGATATTATTTTAGCATGGTCTGTGTCAGAATCTCTTGCCTCACTCTCACAGTGGAGCATCTCTGACTTACAGCCATCCCACATGCTGTGTCCATAATGAAGGGCTGGGTGCTCAGGGACTGCTCGGCTTAGCCAAATAAATTGGAACGAGAGCACTATCTGCTTGGTAAGCTTTATTGAGAAATTAAATTACTTTAAGTACCTCTCTACCAAATTGTTTTAAAAATGATACTGTGTGCCTGTCCTTTGTGAAAATATTTGCAAGTGCAGTGCATCTGTTGAATGTGCTATTTGGGCACAAGTCTAGTACAACTTAAAATGTTCCAATTGCAGCACAATTAGGATTTTTATCAGCACCTGGGAACATTCAGAAAATGTTAGTTTGTTAGAAATCTTTATATTACAAAGCTTATACAGTGCCTTGCGAAAGTATTCGGCCCCCTTGAACTTTTCAACCTTTTGCCACATTTCAGGCTTCAAACATAAAGATATAAATTTTTTATTT